TTTAAGAAAACAATGATCATCACTGCTGAGCTATGCGACATGGCCAAGGACACCTATGTTGGGTACACGAGAGGATCAGACATAAAGACACTTCGAAAATCAGAACATAAATTCACTCGTATAGATATTTTAAATTTGTACATAATTCTGGTCAAGGCTTAAATATGACCCCAAAATCATAAACTATTAACAACATATTTCAACTGAAGATACAAAGACTGCTTTGCATACAATTGTCTCTATCTAACATAAGATCAAGAGTTTCAAGATATATTATTACCTAGAAGCCATGAAAACAATTTTCTTCCTTGCATTAATAAGTTTTGTTCAAATGCAGACATGAAAACAATTTTCTTCCTTACATTTAAAAGTTTTGTTCAAATGCTGTGATTCTCATAGGAAGTCTACAAACTTAACATTATAACTTGTTTTTATAGCATACAATATGCAATTTTTCACTTCTGGAAATTATATTTTGGTTTAAAAGCTTCATTAAATTGGATAACAACTTATAATCTTCACATCCCTTTCAGAGTCTAACTTAGGGGCCGAAGGGTCCAAAAATTATCTAGAGAAGTTTGGAACTCCAACTTGGCAGGTGTGGTCATGTCCAACTGCTGTCTGACATGATTTTGATGCCTAAAACAAGCATACATTTGGTGTGCATGCATCAGTTTTATCAAAAGTGAAAAGAGTAAAAAAGCTCTAAGGTCCTTTAAGGCTTTAAGCACAAGTGAAGTGTGGCCTTTATTGAAGAAAGGAGCAATGGAGAAAAATACAAATATGTATGTGTAGTCCAAGATTAATAATCACAAGCATGAATAATAAATATATGAACAAAGAAATTTATTAAAAAAATAACGCAAAATATCAATTGTTTAGTGTCGCATCTTCAGGATTACACTCACTCTCACTGGCAAGGAAAAGCTTGCCTTGATGATGACACTGAAACGTGCATAGAGCGAGGCGAAGCGCTCAACATGTTTTGCGCCTCGCTTCAAGGCTTAAGCGCACTTAAAAATGACAACATTGGCATGCATAAATGCTGAGAAACAGCAGATAAGCAAGCAGGATAGACCAGAAGCATAGGTAATTTGATCTTTTTACAACCCTCATGTGCCTTTAGATAAAGTTTCTCTCTTATTGTCATCGTAAGAAACAACCACACAAGGAAATTCACACATTCATATATGCCATCTTCAATAGAAAAATCTCTACACTGAAAAAATTAAAAGGCATCTACTGCCGAAATCTTTTCTACATTATGTAATATATGTCTGCCTTTTTCAGTCAACAAGAGGTGCTCAGGTGCATCCTACGGATGATTAGTAAGTGTATGGGAAGAGAGAGAGAGAGCAAGATAAAAAATAGTTGGGTACCTCAAATAATGTTAGATCACTACCACCAGTTATATTCCACACAATTCCAGTAGCCCTCTCTATACCAATGTCCAGCAGAGGAGATTGAATGGCGTTCAATGCTGCATCTCTTGCTCTGGTCTTTCCTGTAATATCAACAAACAATATCAATTTTCATCTTGACTAGTTAGTAGCAGCATCAACATATCAATCCATTCTCGCAAAAAAAAATAAAAATACTTGTTAGCAATAGCCTCACTACTAAATCCAACTATTAGGGAGATGCACAAAACCATACATGGACAATATACATATATGAAATCTTGATATGCATATTTTGCATGCGAACCTGCTGGAGTTACAGATGAGATTTATGTGCTTTACATTGGACATGACATGGCGCAGTTTCAGCTTACCAAGGGCATGACCTTAGATGGGAGGGGGTGGAGGTCATGGATTAGGGTAGTAGGTAGTAGTGCATTGTCTTGCTATCCATTCATATTAGTAGTTGTAGTATTGCTCCTGTAGTTTCTTGTCCATCGATTGATGTTAATATCTATTGATTCCTTAATACCTCGACTAACGTATGGTTTTGTTATTATTTGTTGTTTTTTGTACTTTTGTTACTTCTATTTTGGGACTGTTTTCCTTGAGTTAAGGGTCTATTGAAGACAACCTCTCTACCTTTGAAGGTAGGGGTAAGGTCTGCGTACACTTTACCCTCCCCCAGACCTCACTTTGTGGGACTACACTGAATATGTTGTTGTACATTGGACATGAAATATTTTCAAATAGCCAAAACAACGTAGAAAAATGCATAGAGTTTCTACCTTCCACAAAAAGAAAAGCCAGAAGTAAGAAGGGGTCCAGCAAGAAATGGACCATCAATCACTATTGTCAGCAAGTGACTGAATTGAAAGAAATCTTAAATCTGCAGCCAAATAGCATCCAATAATAGGAGGTAACTCACAGAAACATGTCAGATGTGTTCAGTCAGAAGAATTTATTTTCCAATTTCCCTAATGGAAACATCAGCAGATAAAGATGTTACTTTTTAGATTATATTCAATTTTTTTAAAGGAAACATGACAAAACACTATGGGTTCACTATTTGAAATTTCTACAAGCAGCTATTTATGTCAATGAGATATCTGCTTAGACTGAAGGGGATCATGTCATGGGTACGAGCTATGGACACAGCCTCTTGCAGAAATGCAAGGTAAGGTCGCATACAATAAACCCACCTAGTAGTCCGGCCCTTCATCGGACCAGTGCATGGCAGGAGCTTAGTGCACCGGGCTACCATTTTTCTTCAGATGTATGCTTAGATTTCTCTTCATAGCATATTGGGATGGAAGGCTATAACTCCCTCAGAACCTCGAGCCATGAATATGGAACCCTTTTCTCCCTCCATGAAGGCCAAAAGTCTCCCCCCACCCCACCCCATGGTTCTCTGCCTTAATGGATGGTGTTTCAGTTGGCAAATGTTTCTTTTAGCAGAAGCTCGTTGAGCCAAAAGATCTGAATTGTCTGCACACAGGCACCACGATCCTTGTTGATTTCACTCTCCCTTCATTTGGTTAGCTCAACCATAACTAGGATAAAAGTGAGCTTAAGGAAGATTCTTGGTATAAACTAGTGGTGGCAAATGGGCAGGTTGGGTCAAATTTGGGCAGGTTGGAAACGGGTTGAGCAAATATGGGTCAATACCCAACCCGCCCATATTTCATGCGGGTAAAAAATGGATTGGGTCATTAATGGGCGGGTTGAAAATGGGTTTACCCAAATTACATAGTATGTGGTTTTGGAACAAATAATATTCTTCAGTTATGTTTAATAATTTGTAGCCAGTGTATCGGTGAAACTGGATATCCACTTTTGTTATATCACAATAGTATGTTTTTTAATCTACTTAGGAATAATTCAAGAACTCAAGACAATATGATCAGTCACATAACCATTTTTTCGATATAAAAGAGCTCGTATAAAACGTGTTTTCTCCACAGACATTTGAAATAAATAAGAATTGTATTGAGAAAACTGTTTGTCTTGTTGATAAAATAAGTACCCCATCTTATATAACTGACTTTGTGTTCTTTTAAAATCTAGTAATACCGTAACTTGATGATTTCTGGTATTTTATGTGTGTGTGTGTGTTAGCGTAAGTGAGTGAATGTGCATTTATTGAAATCGTCACTGAAATTAAGGTCTTATTCAAAGGAAAAGATCTCAAATATTTGAATTGACTCGCAGTCTATATCATTAATCTAGACATAATAGAATTTGAAGCATAACACACGGACAATAAAATTTAGTTTTAATTTACTACTAAATATTTCAATTCACTTCATAGACATTTAAAATCATCTGTCAATTGAACATTCCAACTTATAAAATGATCAGCTAGATACTTTTAAAATTTAGTATTTTGCCGTGGCCTCTTCACTTCTAGTACTTATTTAATCAGACTACTTTGTTATGCTTTTTCTTGAGTTGAGGGTCTATTGGAAACAACCTCTCTACCTCCCAAGGTAGGGGTAAGGTCTGCGTACACACTATCCTCCCCAGACCTCATTGTTGGTTTACAGTGGCTATGCTATTGTCTTTTAGTAATGAAGAACTCTTCTATTTTAGTTTCTAACTTGGTGGGTAATTTCGTCTTCTACATCTTTTTTTGTAGAAATTGGATTTATTGAACTTCTACGCCTCAATACCATTGAGACAAATCGGAGATGTAAACAAGTTCTCCAAGTCTCATCTTAACCCTACACTAACATACAAGCCCAATAACTTGGGGGGGGGGGGGGGGGAGGGGGGGAGGAGGTGGAGGAAAAAGACTCTTGGCAAACATCAAATCTAATGCAATTATGACAAAATAATATTATGATTGAAGTACAAGAAATAACAGATAGTAATAGAAAATGAAGAACAAGAAACTATTAAGAGCAATGCTACAACTATTACTATGGAAGGGTAAGTGAGACAACACTCAACTGCCTATTAGCTTTCTACCCTAATTTATGTACTTTATAGCCTCCTAAGACTCATCTAAAGTCATGTCCTCGGTAATTTAACGCTGAGACATGTCTTGTCTAATCACTTCTCACGAATACTTCTTCGGCCTACCTCTACCTCTCTTGAAACCATCCATAGCCAACCTCTCACACCTCCGTATTGGGGAATCCATATATCTCCTCTTTACATCCTAAACCATCTCAGTCTCAATTTCCGCAGTTTGTCCTCCATTGATCCTACTCCCACCTTGACCTAGATATCTCCATTTCTAATCATATCTCTCATAGTAAGCCCACACATCCATCTCAGTGTCCTCATTTCCGCAACTTTCATCTTCTAAACGTGAGAGTTCTTGACTGACCAATACTCCGCTCCATACAACATAGTTGGTCTAACACCACTCTATAGAACTTGCATTTATGTTTTGAAGACACCTTCTTATCACACAAGACTCCAAATGTGATCCCCCATTTCATCCACCCTACACGAATATGATGTGTGACATCATCGTCAGTCTCTACACTACCTTGGATAGTAAACCCAAGATGTGTCAAAGAGAACTTAACAACAGAAAAGATATAATTTGAGCATACCATATTGAAATAAAAAATTATATACAACTCGACATTGAAAGAGAGGCATTAACAGTAAGTGAGATATAGTTGAATGAATAATTCCAATTCCTCTATTCGCCAAAAAGCATCCCCTGAAATAGCTGAGCATTCAAAAATAGAGCGAAGTTGCAAGATGCCAGCAGCCACACAACAGAAAAAGAAAAAAGAAAAATCTTATACAGCATTGTTTTAGAATTGAAACTACTTAAGCTAAGCATCAAGGGTATCACAATCATCTGCATCTATTGAGAGGAGCATCCTTTTGCTTCATTTATCTTTTTCCCCCTGTGTCGTTACCTAGAGTATTAGAAACAAGTGTGGACGAGAAATTGGAACCAAATTAATGATCTTGGTTGTCCAACAAATTCTTTAACCTATCCAAAACTTGGGCAGCTTCGGCCTTAGCTGACAGAGCTTCCTGGACCCTAATGTCGGTGTTTATCCTGGCCATAACAGCAACATTGTGGATAGACTCAGAAGCAATGGTAGCAGCGGCAACCAACTGTTTAGCCAAATGGAGATTGATTTCAATGGCGTTATTAGCAGGATTGGGAGTGACATGGAAGAAAGTAAAATTAGGGTTAGAACAAGGAGGGCACAAGTAACTAGGGGAGGAGGAAGCAGCATCAGAGACACAAGAGAGGAGTGAGATAGAGATGCATTTTGAGCATCGGAGATGGAGGTGAGGGGGAGGAGGACTGTGGAGGAAGACATCAAAGCAGATGGGACAGAAGGAAACGGGGTAGGAGTCCAGTACGCAGGCGGTGCAAAGATGGAGGTTGCGAGCTCTGAAGGGGAGAAAGTGGAGGATGAAAGGGCGAGTGGCGGTGCAAACCGCGAATCGGCGTCCAGAACCACCTTCAGATGGCTGCTCCTCCACCTGCTGCAGCATCAGAAAAAATAATTTGCTCTATCCCTATGGCCTATCGTAATCTCACATTTATTTATAGGGACCGATATGGGAAACTAGTTGAGATTTTAAGAATCCAACCCCCTCCTTTGATCTCTTATGTTCTGTATGCATTCATAACTGATTGAAATAGATACATATTTCCTCTTTTACATGGAAATTCTGAAATATCACACGAAATTGTTCCGGTTATCTGCAGCAGCCAGTTCTCTTTGTTATTAAATGAAATTCCTTGAATTGCAAAATATTTTGTCTACTGAACATGACCTTCATTTCGCCTCAACTTCCACATTTCAGTAAGTCTCTATACAGATGAAAAAAGAACTCCATAGTGTCCCTACCAGTTTGCGCGCATCTCAACTAATTCCATGGGGTACCTACTAATTCCCACCAGCACAAATACTGGGAACTCTATCCACCAAGGCTTGTACAGATGGGAAGAAATAACCTAATGCTTTTGGCACCACTGAGAATTAACCTGAGACCTCTAGGCCACACCCTTGGGTGAGGCTGCATACGCGCACCTCAAAAACTTCTCAGGAAATTAGCCTTGAGCTTATTTGTTATTTCAGTTTAGATTGTTACAACAAACGAAGGAAAATAAAGCTCAAAGCCAGATTACACCATGGAATAGGGACGATGGGAAACTGGAAGTTGCGAGACATATGGTAGACATGCCTGGAAAATATAAGAAAGATTTGGGGGAGAAAAGTACAGCGATAATGGTACAATCATTGGCAGAGGAGAATACAAATGGAGGAGCAGAGGATGTTATTCCACTGGGTATCCAATTCCCAGAGGAAGACTACAACACACTGAGCACCTCAGAATGGATACAACAAAATATAATCAAACTGAGCTCGGAATTTGGGGTTAATTTCAAAGGATGTGAGGAGAGAGCGAAGGAATTATTGATGAAAATTGACAGTAATAAGCGAGAAAGTAAGGGGAAACAGAGTGAACAGTCAACATGCAAGAAGAAAGGGGGGTATTTGTCCATCATGGATCAATGAATTTAAACATTGTTTCCTGGAATGTGAGGGGACTGAATTGTGGGAAGAAAAGGTGTATGCTCAGGAATATGTTAAGAATCTGGAAAGCAGATGTTGTGTGTTTTCAAGAGACAAAACTGGAGAGGGAGATTGCAAACATAGTTAAAGAAATTTGGGGTAGTAGATGGGCAGATTATGTGCAACTAGAAGCTAGTGGGACTAGGGGAGGCATACTAATTATGTGGGATAAAAGAATATGGGAAGGGGAAGTAAGTAGTGTGGGAGCATACTCAGTTGTTGTTTCTCTGGCAAAAACCAGGATTTAAAATGGCACCTAACAGGAGTCTACGCCCAAAATGACAGAGTTGAAAGGGAAGAAACTTGGTTGGAAGTGGGGGCAGCTAGAGGTCTATTTACATGTCCTTGGGTCTTATGCGGGGATTTCAATACAGTGAGATATCCTTCTGAGAAGTTCAACTGCAGTAGAATCAGCAGGTCAATGACAGATCTTTCAGAGTTCATTGAAGACATGGAATTAATGGACTTAGACTTAGTAGGGGGAGAGTTCACACGGAGGAAAGGTGAAAGACATTCCACAGCAGCAAGACTAGACAGGTTCATGATCTCTGAAGATTGGGATACAAAATTCAGGAATATCAAGCAGTCTATTCTGCAGAGAATTGTCTCTGATCATTCCCCATTGATGCTACAATGTGAAGAATGGGGGTCAACCAAATCATATTTCAAGTTCGAAAATTGGTGGCTGACTACAAAAAATCTCAATGACAAGAGTAAAGGGATGGTGGGGGTCTTTTCATTTCCAGGGAAAACCAGATTTTATACTGGTAGCAAAGCTGAGGGCATTGAAAGAAAGTTGAAAGAGTGGAGCAAGACCAGTCTGGGGAATCTGAAACAACAAAAGCAACTTGTACTCAATCAATTAGCAGAACTTGAAAGGATACAGGATCAGAGAATTTTGGAGGAAGGGGAGATAGTTTCCATATTAGCTCTTACCACTGAGTTGGAAGAAATAGTCAAAAATGAAGAAACAGCATGGAGATAGAGATCTAGGGCAGTTTGGCTTAGACAGGGGGACAGGAATACCAATTTCTTCCACAAGGTAGCAAATTCACACAGAAGAGTCAACACTACTGATAAAATCAAAGCCAGGGAAGAGTTACTAACTGAACCTGCTGAAATTCAAAGAGAGATCACTCTGAAACTGAGGATTGGAGGCCAGAATTGGAAATGAGGGAGTGTCCTATGATTGATGAAGATGACAACAACCAACTGATGGCCCCTTTTGAAGCTCAGGAAATTCTAGAATGCATCAAAGCATGTGCGGGGGACAAAGCCCCTTGCCCGGATGGCTTTTCAATGGATTTTTTTTAGACAGTGTTGGGATATCATCAAAACAGAATTGGTTGCAGCAGTTCAAAACTTCTATGTGGAAGGAGTGTTTGAGAAGAGTATAAATGCTACTTTTGTGACTTTGATACCTAAGAAGATAGGGGCAGAAGAACTTAATGACTTTAGACCAATAAGTTTAGTGGGGGGAGTTTACAAGATAATTGCAAAACTTTTGGCTGATAGACTAAAGAAGGTGATGCATAAGCTCGTGAACAAGCAACAAATGGCCTTTATCAAGAGAAGGCAGATCATGGATGCAGTGTTGATAGCCAATGAATGTGTTGATTCCGGGAAAAAGGATAAACAACCAGGGATCCTATGCAAGCTGGATATCCAGAAGGCATATGATCACCTGAATTGAACTTTTTGATGAAGATGATGCAGAGGATGGGTTTTGGTCAAAGATGGTTAAAGTGGATCAGACATTGCATATGGGTTTTTCCCATCAAACAGGGGTTTGAGACAAGGGGACCCCCTATCTCCTTTTCTTTTTATCTTGGCTATGGAGGGGTTGCGCAACCTATTCCAGACTGCAAGAGCAAATGGTTGGATCAGAGGTTTCAAAATAGGGGAGAATACAAGAAACTCTAGAGATCACTCATCTACAGTATGCAGATGACACTTTTGTATTTTGTGGAGCTGTAAAGGAGCACAAGCTAATTTTGGGAGTCATTTTAAATATTTTTGAGGCTGTGTCAGGTTTGCACGTAGACTGGAACAAGAGAATCATTTATCCAGTAAACACAATACCAAATATTGAGGACTTAGCTTACAAGCTTGGAGGGAAAGTAGGTGAACTACCAACAACCTACTTGGGAATGCCTTTGGGGGCTAAGAGCAAATCAAGTGGAATATGGAGTGGTGTAATTGAAAAGTGTGAAAGGAAGCTCGTGAACTGGAAATGTCAATATCTATCCTCAGGTAGCAGACTAACTCTAGTTAATAGTGTCCTGGATGCCTTGCCATCATACATGATGTCAATATTCCCTATATCAGCCAAAGTAACCAAGAGGTTAGATGCAATTAGGAGGAACTTTCTATGGAAGGCAGTGAAGATAAGAAGAAGTATCATTTGGTCAAATGGGAGGAGTTGCTAGTTAGCAAGAGAGGGGGTGGAATAAACATCAGAGATCTGAGTACGCAGAATAAGAGCTTGATGATGAAATGGTTGTGGAAATTTGCCTCACCAGAAGTATCTCTATAGAAGAAAGTAATAACAGCAAAATATGGCATGGAGGACAAGTGGATGACAGGGGGGGGACCAGCCCTTATGATTGTAGTGTATGGAGATCAATCAGGAACTTATGGCTACTGGTCAAAGATAGAACAAAATGTAAGGTTGGTAATGGAGAAAAAGTGGCCTTCTGGAATGACATCTGGTGCGGACAAGAGACACTCAAACAAGCATTCCCTGAGCTACATAGTCTAAGTCAAGCACAGGAAGCATCGGTGGAAGACTGATGGACAGGACAAGGGTGGAATTTACATCTGAGAAGAAACTTAAATGACTGGGAAATAACATCCATAGCAAGATTTCATGACACAATGGCTAGGGCTACCAATCTAACAGAAGAGCAAGATAGACTGATATGGAAAGGGGAGAGAAAGGGAGAGTTCACTGTAAGATCTGCATATCGAGAATTGAGACCTATTGAAGAGCAGCAAGCAGGATGGCCTTGGAGGATGATCTGGAGAACAAAAATCCCATACAAGGTGAATTATTTCACATGGCTTTTGGCAAAGGAGGAAGTCTTGACACATGAAAACTTGAACAAGAAGAAACACAACCTTTGCTCTAGATGTTATTTATGCGAAGAACAGGTGGAGACAGTCAACCATCTCTTTTTACACTGCAAATGGACAGATCAATTATGGCAGATGTTCATTCACAAGAGGAAGATCAAGTGGACAAAACCAGGGAGAATCACAGAAGTTCTAAAATGCTGGAATAGTGATGGAAATGCAGGAAAAAAGGAGGAGAGATGGAGGATTGTCCAAGCATGCATTTGGTGGACAATTTGGAATAAAAGGAATCAAAGATGTTTTGAAGGAAAGAACAACAATATTCAGAAGATAAAGATTAACTGCCTAGGTCTTTATTATTTTTGGTGTAAGCAAGTAGTAATAGGAAATTCTGAAGATGTTTCTAATGTTATTGACTGGCTGTAACTAGAAGATCTTAGGGCTGATGTAAGTACACTTTGATGTAGTATACCTGTGGATATATAGAAGTAAATGTTACCTTTCTCAAAAAAAATAAACCTTGAAATATGTCAAGGACTGCACTTTTGCACAAGAAAAATGGAACTGGTGCAAAATATGTAGTGATAGGCACAGGCACGACTAATATTTTACACTAGACTTTAACAGAATACAATATTTTAGTCAACTGGTGGATAACTTTTATTAAGTAAAAGCATATAAATTTAGACAACATGGATAAATTCTGACAGCTGCATATGTCCATTTTTTGTGATAACCATAGCGTCCACACCATGTTGCGCACATCTCAACTAATTCCCACCAGCACAAATACTGGGGAACTCTATCCACCGAGGCTTGTACAGATGGGAAGAAATA